CAGAGTTAAGTTTTTTTTCGCGTTGTTAGTTTTAAGATAGTCATCAGAAGTTAATTTTTATGTAAGATAGTCATCAGAAGTTAATTTCTATATAAGATAGTCAATAGAAGTTAATTTCTATATAATATAGTCAATAGAAGTTAATTTCTATATAAGATAGTCAATAGAAGTTAATTTCTATATAAGATAGTCAATAGAAGTTAATTTTTATATAAGAAAGTCAATAGAAGTTAATTTCTATATAAGATAGTCAATAGAAATTAATTTCTATATGTTACTTTCAAGATTATATGTTAATTTCTATTGACAATGGTTTTAATTACTTTTTTAAATAATTTTGATTATAAATACTGAGCTCACGTTTGTTTTGCGCGGATTATAAATAAATAAAAAGTAATTCTAAAACAAAAGTTGTAATAAAAAGGGTTGCAAACTGTAATCAGTAGTGACCTTAATGATGAGTTAAAGTTAAACTTACATTAGGAAGAGTTAATGTTTCCAGAAACAAAAATAAAGTTTTACACTGTTAATTAGAATATTTCTTTTATTGAAAATGTTAAAAAAACTGTCAAGTTCTCAGAGAAAAAAATTTGCAAAGGATTCTGAAGCAGCCCATTAAACTGTTTTTAAGTAAAGTGCCAAAACTAACACGTTCTCTTCATTCTCCAAGTTCTTCACAATCTTGTGAATGAAATATTTTGTGTGATAAAAACTCCTTAAAAACATCTAGTGAGACCTCCACTCTGTCACAATCGAACCAAGAGGAAGTTAGTGTAACCTTCTGTTGCATATTTCAACTTCTTCAGTTATACTACATGTTCATCAACTTCATCCATTTGTAGGCTAAAATCTCAGAAAGCATCAAAGAAAAACGAAAGTTGAACTTGAAAGTAATTTAAATTATAACAGGTAATAGTTTTGCAATTACAAATGATTTTTTGCACAGAAGTGACACTTGCAGATCCTTAACTAATGACCTGTCCACTTGGTTGTAACAGCTGGTAGTAAGGGAGAGAGACTGCATTATCAAAATGAATCCCATACTTTTCCAGAAGAGCAATAATGAATATACTCAAACCAAAAAACGCCATTTCTCAAATAAATTTCGATACAGAGTAGCAAGAAACGATAAACAAGTACACTGCACGACATAATGATAAGACATCCCAAAAAGATATATAAAACTCTACTATACATTTATATTTAAAAACTAATTTTTATTGTAAATGAAAGCAAAGGGTTTACAACACTAAACAACAATTTAACAAATTTATTTTTAACGTAACTCGCATTTTATTAAAAATAAAAGTCTTTTCAGTGCGACAAAATTATAAGACAATTTACAAAAAACGTTTTATTTGCAAACCGCAGTTGTGGGCAATTAAGAATATTTTTTTGATGTAAACATCACAGACGATTATTTAACTGTAAACTTTTGTGAACTGTCAAAAATTTAGTTTAGGTTTTTTTTTACTAAGCATAAAATAACAAATTAATTAATAATGTGTCGTGCTGCACCGTTAAATCCAGATGAGAAAAAAGTGCCCTCTATCTTATCAAAAATGGGTCACTCCGTTAGTTACATGGCTAGAGCTATTGGACGCAGCCGAACTGTGATTAAAAACTACGTTAATAGTCCTCATATGTATGGAATAAAAAAAAGTCCCGGACGTCCATTAACATTAAGTGACCGTGATAGGCAAAGATTGTTGAGACAAGCTTCAAATTCTTCATTAACTGCACGTTAAATTGCTCCAGAAGCATGTGTGATTGCTAATTTACGTACAGTTTAGTGAGCTGTTTATAATACTTTTCACCTTTTGCGCAATAAACTTCAGTGAAAACCACCTTTGACAACAAATCACATAAACAATCGAATAACTTTTGCAAAGGACCGCGTAACATGAAAAGAACAGTGGCAACAAGTAGTATTTTCTGATAAAAAACGATGTTGTCTTAATGGGCCGGATAGATAGAATTATTATTTTTACGATTTGCGTAAAGAACCAGTAACACAGCAACAACGTCAAATGGGTGGTAATGGTGTAATGATTTGGTGTGCGATTGGGTATTATGGTGAATCAAAAATTTATTTTATTGATGGAAGAAAGAAGACTTAACATTATCTCTTAATTGTTTAAGAACTTTTGAGACGTAAAGCATCTGTCATAGGTGGTGAAAATTTTGTTTTTCAACATGATAATGCTAGTATTTATACAGCTAAGATAGTAAAGGAATATTTCAACAGCAGTAAAATTGAAACATCGATGTGGCCAGCTAGATCTCCAGACCTGAACATTATTGTGAATGCTTGGGCACAGCTGTCACATATAGTGTTTGAAGGTGGTAAACAATTTAGTTCACTAGCTGACTTGAAATCATCCATCGCATCTGCATGGGATGCAATTGACATTTCTTTCATAAAAAAGTTGTATGATTCTTTATCTTTTAGAATGATTGAAGTAATTCAAAAAAATAGGAAAAGTAGCCACTATTGGTTGTTTAGAATTGAGATGTCTTTTTATATTAATGACAACTTATATGAATTTTTTCCAAAAGTGTCTTATAATTTTGTCGCACTAAAAAAACAGTTTTTTTTTGATAAAATGCAAGTTAGGATCAAAATAAATTTTTTAAAAAGTTTTTAAAAAAAATCCTTTTGCTGTCATTTACTATAAAAATAGTTTTTAAATATAAATGTATAGTAGAGTTTTAAAAATAATTTTGGGGTGTCTTATCATTATGTCGCGCAGTGTAAGCGGAGATGGCTTATATACTCTTCAGAAACTGATTCAGCTTATTGTTTTCCTTATCATCTGTTTCACCCTACTCCAAAATCATATTTTGAGAAAAAGATTTCAACAACTAGAAAAAGTTTACAGAGCTAGCCTAAAAGAGACATCTCCATCTCATTTCTGTTGTTATGACATTGTTTTGTTGAACTAACAACCAGGATAAAAAATAAAAAAGCTGTCGATCAAGGTCTTATCCAACAAATAAACAATAAAACAGAATGGTTGAGAAGCATTCTAAAGAAAATAGTGTCAATGATTTTGTACTTAGCGCACATAATCATGTATTCCATGGACGCTTATTACTGTTCACCAAAAAAAATGGCAGCTTTCCTATCCTATTACTTGGTCAATTTTGATCCAATTTTGATTGAGCATTTATAGCGAATTGAAGATGGAGAAAGACGTTCCAAATGCTGTGTCAATATTTAAAAAAAAAGTCATTAACCTCTTAGCTTTGCATGTAAAAGAAGCTTTTGTGAACAAGGTAAATTGTCAAAATTATTTTTTATTTATTATGAATTCCACTCCAGACCTTAGTCAAAAAGACCAAACTTCTCTAATAATCCGCCATATTCATAAAGAAAATGAAGCAATAGTCATTGTCCAAGAAAGCTTTATTGGACATGCAGTGTGTAAAACGTCAACTGGTAGAGCTCATTCTAATTGAAGAAATAAAGTCTTGTAGGCCAGACCTAAACAACGGTAGAGGTCAAGACTATGACAACGGGTCTAATACCCCAGCCGGCACAATTCAGATAATAGTTACGCTCGGTTTCTGTTGCGTTTTTAAAACCTAAAACAAAAAGAACAACACGTGTCAAAAATGGTTTTTATATCGTGAAATTAACTATTACTATTTACCATTAATACCAGCTAAAATATTAATGGTTTCACCGTTATGGAAACGTAGTTTCCATAACATTATTATAATAACTTTCCGTATGGAATGTGAAACCACTGATAAAAGCATGCGACATTTAAATTTGACTTTAAAAGCTCAAAAAATACATGTTAAACTCGAGTAAAACTGCCCGTAATATACACGCGTTTTTGGTTTACGACTGGATCTTGACAAACACGTGTTTATACAGGTTTTAATTCCGAAAAAGAAGCTAGACGTGCCAGTAGGGTAAGGTTGAAATTTGAAAATGCTTTCAAGCTCGAATTTCAGCAAAATACCCACAAGTCTCATTTACACCCAGTGGTTGCCACAACTTGAACATAATTTTATTAGACGGGGCTAAATCATTTGGTGAATTCTATATTGCTGTTTGGAGTTTTTCAAAGAATCTATACAACTTTTTCTGCATCAATCAAGCGTTGGCAACTTCCCTAGCACAAAAGAGTTTTTCAAAATTGATGCTTTCGTGCCCTTAATTAACACAATTGAATCATTTTTAGACAAATTCCATGACAGTGGCTAGTAGTGAACGTAGTTTCAGCAACTTGAAGTTAATTAAAACCTACCTACATACATTAATGACAAAAAAATATTAACCTTGTTAGGATGTATATATTTATCGTTATGGTAGATTGGTAGGTGGTGTAAGTATTAAAGTATTGGTGGTTTCACAGACGGCTCTGTCTGCTATTATGTTATTTATAATTAGATTATCTATTTAACATTTTTAATGCTACATTTTATAATTACTATATAATTTGTTAGTTATTATATGCTATTATTATTAGAATGTTTTCATATATATTTATTTTTTATTAATTTATATCATACTTTTATACATTGTTGATAAAAATCTAAATTATACATTCATGATTCAGAATATTTTCAAACTTGTTAGTGGGATTTCTGTGAATATGTAAATTAATACTTATAAGATTCAAAAATTATTATTTTACTTGTAATTAGGAATTAACTATTAGCTGTTAGCGCAAAGAACATTTCTTTAATTTTACAATTTAACTTAAACCGAGAGGTTAATAATTTTAAAATATTATAAAAGTTAGATTTGTTAGTGAAGTTAAATTTTTTGTTAAGTGTGCCCACCACTGGTTAATTTTACTTTAATATTATTATATATTGCTATTATTATTTAATTGGTGTTTACTATAGATTAGTACTCGTACTATTTGTAAATAACCATGAAACGTAGTAATTTTTATTTTAGCATATATATTGTTATTGTTGTTGTATATGTGACATGCAATACGTATCCAATATAAAGTGATATATATATAATTTTTCAGGTTATCCACTGGGTACGATCATGTATGAGTTTAGTAAGTAAAATGGCATTTTTATTTTTAAACTTTGATATTTTACTTTTGTAGCTGATCCAGGATTTTCTGGTTTTTGTATTAAGCAACTTCCAGATAAGTTCTAAACTTCTAACTTTTGTCTGTTTTTAAATATGTTGTTTGAAAAAGTTGAAATTGCGTCGATTAGAACCTGGAAAAATACCCAAAAAAAGTAAGCATCACCACTCTAAATGTGGAAGAAATAGGTTTTTCAGACTATAAATTCTAATACCATTTATTTAAAGAAATTTGATATATATAAATTATATTCTTTGAGGATATTTTCAAAAAAAAAAATTTTTTTAAGGAAAATATCCTCAAAGAATATAATTTATATATGCAGAATTATGAAACTAAACGAAGAAAATATAAGCAAGAGCAGAAATCATGTCAGAAAAGAAATGTGGAGCGTAACAATTCAATGGTACGTGAACTTAAAAGTTCAAGCTCTCTGGAAATATCTAACTAAGTATGCAGAAGCACGAAAACTCTATAGAAAGATAATTGATTATGATGGTGAAATGTAAAAATGCATAAAATTGTAGGAAAAAAAAAAGAAAGTTTAATAAAACATAGGTAATTTTTGAGAATATGGAGGATACACTCTGTCAAGGCAAAACCAGCTGTATACACAACTCAATCAGATAAGCAGATGTTATTTGTTCGGATACTAGATTTAGAGAAGTAAAGAAATCTAGTCTACAGAGTTGTAAAGAAAATGATATTTAAAAAAAAGGAATATTGTTAATGAAGGCTATGAAGGCTTAAAAAGCTCGATAAGAAAGTACTTGCAAATAAAGCTGGAAAAAAAACAAGATAGACAACTTATTTTGAAAAATTGCTAAATGATGAGTTTAACTGAGTAAAAAAGTTTATATGCAGTGAATTAGGAAAGAAGAATAGCAAAGCTGATAATCTGTAGTGAAATGAAATCAGTGGACTTAGTTAGATAAGGATGCTGGTCTTTCTGGCTAATTGGCCACAATGTTGAAGATTTAAAGAGGTATGGGTGTTAGGTTGGAGTCCAATCTATGTCATACAATTGTTCAAAAAGCTAAAATTCTAAATAAATAGAAGCAAAGTTGGATGTTAAAGATTCATAAAGGAGGTACAGACGCACTAAAATAGAGCTCATATTAAACTGCAGAAGCAGTGTATTTATCAACACACTTGCAATTTAGTTTTAAGCCAGGAAAAAGATCAACAGTTTAATATTTATTGCAAGGAAATTTCAATTTGTTGACTTTGAAAAAGTTTTCACTAATTACATATGGAGATAGTGTGGCTGCACAATTATACAATTATGTTCTAATATTATTCACAATCATCTAATATCCTTGTTATTTGTTAAAACTCAGACAAGTTTCTAATAAGGTTACCATCTAAAGACAAAGTACACTTTAAAGTAAAAGCTATTTAAATTTATTATAGTGTCAAGTGTCAAAAAGATTGAAGTCACCTGCATTGTAAAATTTAAAGTGTAAAACTAGTAATAAATTGACTATATAAAGTAAAAACATTTTTTAGTTTGTTTCTTGTAAATAGTTAACCTAACAAAGTTGTTAAGACTTTTAATTTAATATTTTTGCATGTTATTTTATATTAAAAAAATATAGTTTTAATACTAAAAAATTTGTCAACGAATGGAAGCATTTCTTGTTTGTTTTTATAGCTTTATAAAAAGTTGTTTTCGAATATCGACATTATTGCTTTGTTGAAAAGATTTTTTCCAATACTGGTTTGGCTTCCACAATATAACTTGAGGAAATTACGAGGCGATATAATTGCTGGATTGACTTGCGGTGTTGTTGTTATTCCACAAGGCATTGCATTTGCTAATCTTGCTAAACTTCCGCCACAAAATGGTTTGTATGCTTCATTAACACCTGGCTTAATTTACTGTTTATTCGGTACATCAAAAGACGTAAGTACAGGCACTGCTGTAACTCTTGGCTTATATACAGCTAGTTTCAATCCAACTCATACAACAGTAGGTGCATCTCTTTTAAGCTTTATAAGTGGTATTGTTTTGGTATGTATGGGCATTTTTAAACTTGGATTTCTAATTAAATATGTTCCACAGCTTGTCATTAGTGCATTTGTCTCAGCTACAGCTATCACCATTATTGTAACACAGTTTTCAAATTTATTTGGAATCAAAGGTGCACCAGTTAATGTGTTTGAGATTCTTAAATACATAATATTGAACATCAAGAAAACAAATAAATGGGACATAACTATGAGCGCGTGCTGTCTTTTTATTCTTGCGATTTTCTTTTGGCTTTCAAGTTTAAAACTTGAAAACAAACCATTATTAAAAAAAATAATTTTGTTTTTATGTGGTGCTCGCATGGCTGTTGTGTGCCTGTTTGCAACAATTACTGTTTATATATTTCATGTTTATGGTTACACCAAGTTCTCTATTGCTGGCAATATTCCAAAAGGGTTGCCTCATTACCAGGTATTGTTCAATTAGTTTTTTTTTTGCTTTGTTTTTCTTATATTTTTTTCTACCTTATTTATTTAATTTTAGATAAAATTCCGGTATTGCAATCGAATCTTGAACAAAAGAGGCCTATTTATTAAAGATTTATTTATTCCTTAACATTATTAAAGGCTTATGTTAAATTAAGTTCTTTAAATACGTTTGTTTTTCTGTTTCATAATATTTTAGAACCACACTTTTTTTTTTAATATAAGGTATATATTCTTCCTAAATAGACGGGGCAGGACACTAATTATTTTCCCTACGTATGAATACATGATATATAAACTTTAGTGCAAATTAAATATTTCTCCCAGTCCCTTAAACATTACAAACTTTACACCTAAACTCTTTTTTAATATCTTAAACCGAATACAATACTTCTAGTTTTTGGTCTCTCAAAATACTTCTAGGGAGTTTTTACTTGTGATTGTGAACTTTTTAAAGGGATTTCCAAGTGCCAAGACAAGTTGTTTTCATATTAAAGAAAATGTTCAAAGTAACAGCATATCAATAAAACAAAAAATGATCATTTTAGTTTAAGCTCGCCCTCTTCATTTTTTCTTGGTTCTCGGAATCTTTATAATATATGCTGCAATCAGTAGACTGCGTTATTTATTTCACTCACGTTTAATTCAAAACAGTTTTAGAATATGAAGTTGTTGTGGATTTTTTTTAAGTACTTTTGTCCAACCATTAGAAAATCATTTGTATAATTTTTCACTAAATTCTCAATTTACAATACAATTTAAAATACAATACAATACAATTTAATACAATACAATTTAAAATACCTATATTTGGTTTGTTTTTTGTTAGGATTATTTTTAAATTAATATATATATATATATATATATATATATATATATATATATATATATATATATATATATATATATATATATATATATATATATATATATATATATATATATATAAAGAAAAATGATAAGAAAAAGATTTTATAAAAAAGTATAAATTTATATATTTGCTTTGTTTTTTGAAATCGTTATTTGTTGATATTAAATATGTTGGTGTGAAATATGATTAAATATCTTAACTTTTCCCATTAGATGATTAGTGTAATGTAACTGATGCTCTTTTGCTCTAATTTTAGGACTTTCTAAGTCGCGGGTTTGAATCCTCCTTTAATAACTATTTTATATAAATTTTAATGTTTTATTCAAAGTAGTTTTATGTTTTAGTCGTTTATTTATATTTACATTACATTATATTGTTGTTTATTTAGGTATGCAGAAAATGATGGCAAGTAAAACAAAATTTTGTCACTTTGAAAGCTTAAATTAGATAAAATAGATAATACAAATTTTAAACTTAACATAATATATAAATTGTAATATATAATATATAAATTATAGCATTATATAAATCATTAGCAGTTCCGACGTTAACCAACGGTCTAGAAGTCTGTGAAAATAAAAAGTCAACAATGAAAAGACTCGACACACTTGGAAGGAACGCAGTAGAATTGCTTTTTAATGTCTCTAAGTATAGTAAAAAACATATGCAAAAAAATCAAGGAAATGTCAAATTATATGCACCAAAACAAAATAAATCTATTTATTCGCCTTTTAAACACTAAAGTAATCTTTGAAATTATTAATTACCAACTTAACTACTGTTCAGTTAAATCTTCTTTTTTTTTTACCTTGTTAATATACTTTACAGAGGGTGATTAATAAAATAATAATAATAATATAATAATAATATTTTTACAGAAACAAATAATATATATTTTAAGACGCTAACTTTTTAATATAAAATTTTAGATAAAGATTTATACTTGCAGTTGGTAAAGGCAAGTTGCGCTACTGAAATCTTAAAACCAAATATTTTACTTTATTTTTATTTATATCGCAAAAAATTTTTGGAATTCAGTAAAATATTATACAAATTATGCAGTCTGCAGGTTGCGGCATAGTTATAAAGACTCCAAGAACTAAGAAAAAATAGAGATTAGACTAATTACACAACAATTTTGGTTTTATTTTTTTTTTAACATTTTCTTTGATATGAACACAACTTGTCTAGGCACTTGGGGGTCATTTTAACAATTTTTTCCTACATTAAATAACTTCAATAATTATGAACTTTGATAACAATTTATTTTTTGAATTCAAGTTTTAGAAATATGTACTTTTAAATTTAAAACTTTGGTTATTATAATTTAAATTTTAGAAAAGTGTTCCTTAAAAAGAACAAATAATTATTTCTATTAAACATGACATTCTTTCAAAAATATATTTACTTTTACGTTTTACCTTTCAAACCAAGAATTTCAGACAAATCAAAAATAACAATAACATCAAAAGCAATTGTAAAAAAGAAAAATACAAAACATTAAAAGACTTGGAAAAAAATAATTTGTAACAAAGAAGTTTTCATATTGATAATTTTGAAAACATAAACAATTCCATATTCACGTGGTTTGTTGTGAGAAGAGATCAATAAGCACCAACCAATGGTATCATACTGAAAGAGAAATTAAAGAGTGTTGGCTTCTTATCATGACAAGAATAAATGGTAGTATCATCAGCAAACAATACCACCTTGAATGTGGTATTGTTTGCTGATGATACTACAATACTTTTGATACAGAAGCTGGAGTGATCAAGCAATGGATCAACCTGTTTGATGGCTGTACCAGGTATAACGCAACTAGTGGAATCAAGAGATGATATTGATGAAAAGTTCTTAGCAAACAATTCAGCTTTGTCTTTAGGTGAGGTGACAAAGTCTGAATCATACAGGAGAGGTGGAATAACAGATTTTCCCTTATTAGTTACGGGAGCCTAATTTTTGTGATAAAATGCGAGTTTTTATGACCTGATAATAGCGGGCTTTGGCGTTAGACAAAACTTTTTTACTATGGTTTCTAGCAATAGTAAACAGACGTCTGTTTTCTGGAGAATTGTTTTGCAGATAAATAAGGAAGTAACGGTTTTGATTGGAAATTTTAGCAGTACAATGTAAGGAAAACCATGGAAAAGAGTGAGGGTTGACCTGGAATTGTCGAGAGGGAATAAAAGATTCCATGCCAGCCTGAATCCACGAAGTTATGTAAGAAGCGCATTTGTCAGTAGGAAGACAAAAGATTTTTACCCAAGGACTATCACAGTCAGCATTAAGGTAGTTGTAAGAGGTACAATGATAAGGGGATTCTGATGATGATGAAGAAGAATGAGATAATAGTTTTAGAGAGATCAAACCGTGATAAGAAGCACCTAAGAATGTAGAGAAACTGAGCACTGACTCAGATCAAAAACAAGACAAAGTTTGAGTAGAGAAGGTAAATAATTTGGGTTGTCTGGAAAGCGAGTTAAAAAGTTGACTATTTGAGTTAGAGATTGAGAAAGCCAAAAGTTGAGGACCTTAACGCCAGCAGAGTCACTGACACTACAACCAACCCATTCAATGTAATGAGCAATGAAGTCACCAACAACAACGATATTGGCTGATGGATAAAGAGAGATGGTTTGGTCAATTTGATCAGAAATAACATCGAAAAGAGTGCAGTCTTTAGATGAAGGAGAGCAATATAGAACAAAAAGAAAAACGATAGAGTGAAGTGATGCTAAACGAAAGCACATAAAAGAATAGCCTGTGGATTCAAACCTAGTTTCCCGACAAATGGGTAAATTCTTACAAATGTAAATGCCCAGGGCAAGCATGTGACAATTGGAGTCTTTACAAATTATAGGAAGATAACCATCGACACTAAGATCACAAAATGAGACAGCTGAACTCAAATTAGTCTCACAAAGAGCAATTAGATCTGGTGAACTTTTCAAGAGACAAGACTCAACAGAATATTAGTGAATGGTTTAGAGGACTTAGTGATGACAATGATTTTTTTTGCTTTATAGTTTTTTGTATTTTAGTCATTTTAAATTTTTAAAGAACTTGACTCAAAGCATAGATAGTACTCATTAAACTATTTAATAGTCCCAGCAATTGCCCCATTACTATTAATAAACCCTAAGCCGTAACAAAGGGCTCCCAGTGTAGCCTCGAAAATGTGCACTAAAATTACAAACAGGGATACCATCCATGTGCAGCATAGCTTTGTTAATACCCTGATATTTTTCAGCTGTTGATGGAATCAGGCTTTCTGAGAGGTACCACAGAGTTCGGGAGCTATACTCTCATTAGGAGATAACATAATGAGTTGCCTAGTTATAAAAACACAATTCATAGAGACACAAGCAAAACTCATGCATTGAGTCAAGAAGATCCAGCACTCAACATTCTAAACTGGAAACAATGTATTAAAAATGCATCTGTGCGAGCCTAATAGATGAAGAAGGGGTTCGAGGTTGGTCAACAGATAGAATATTTTTACCTCTCATGTCTTTGTCAAAGAGGTTTTCAACAAGGAAGTAGTCGGATACGTTTAACACCTGCCCAAGATCAGTATTTTTTTCGAGACGTCATCTCTAACTTTTTCTTAACCAAGAGCCCCAAGGCAGGGGTGTTATATGCTCTTTTGCTCTAATTTATATATATATATATAATATATATATATATATATATACATATATATATATATATATATATATATATATATATATATATTATATATATATATATATATATATATATATATATATGCTCTTTTGCTCTAATTTATATATATATATATATAATATATATATATATATATATATATATATATATATATATATATATATATATATATATATATACATATATATATATATATATATATATATATATATTAGGGTGTCCCTTATTTTTCAAAGTTTTTATTTTCTAAGGCATAGGTCTCAGTTTCTTTCATTTGCTTCTAAAACGCTCGAAAATAAATTTTTACTTTAATTGGAGTGCAATAACAAATGCCGATTTGCATCGAATCATGTTCATACAAGTTGTGCTTCCCTGTCTTATTGTTAAAATGCTCAAAGTGGTTTTTACAATGACGAAAAATTAATTAAATTTTTGATAATTCGATACCAATAGATAATAATTATCTGCTTACAATAATTGTTAATAGATAGTTATTATGAATTTTGTGCCATTGTAAAAACCGCTTTAAGCTAATCCGCAATTTTAGAAATGCTCAGTTATTCTCATGACAAATACATATTGTCTTATTTTTAAGAAAAGGCAGTAAAATTTGAAAGCAATAAAAAAAAGTTTATCTCAGTTGGTGACGTGAATTTTAAAATAACAGGCGCAAAGTTACCGTCTAACCGTCAAGTTCTTGCTGTACTTTTTTTTAACATTTGCAAGTGTTACAAAAAGAATTAATTCAAGAGTGTATTTCGGGAAAAATCTAGAATTCCTACCAGAGCTATACCTAACTGTTTAAAAAAACTTGTAGATCTTAACCATGTTTGAAGAGAGTTGTAAAACAAAATCCAAAAAAAAAAAAAAAAACAAGGTATTTACAAGCACCGTGAGTAAAACTTTCGAAACAATTTAGATAATTTATTTGATATAGCACATGCTGATGCCGTAGAACGGATAAAAATACATTAACAAAAAGAACCAAGGTGTCCAGGATTTTTTTTCGGTTAATTTTTTGTAAACTAAAAATTAGCCGAAAAAGAAGAAATGGACAAGACAGAGAAAATTAAAAAAGAAAAAAAAACGACTTTAGCAAATATGTCTAGCGAGTTTTTTGTCACTTTTTACTACACAAGATTTTATACAAACGCAAGTAAGTTCTGAAACTACAACAAAAAGAAGGAAAACCTTTATCACATTTTAGACATTTAATAATTCAGGGTCATTAAAAGGAGCTAGTTTACTTTGAAACAAAAACTAGATAGGGAATTACTACTTTTTGCTTGCCGCCATGGTTACGAAATGGTTTTAAAATGTGTATTTGAAACAAAAATCCACAAAATCACAAGTAGTTCAATAAGTTTATAGACAAACGGAAAACTATTAATCTGTGTACGTCAAACAACATTTTAGTCATACAACATTTGAAGAATTGTTGACATTTTATAATCAAAAACTGCAAAAAACTATTTTACGTGATGATTATATGGAACTAATTGTTAAGGATATTAACAATTAGTTCCCGATAATCATCATACTGGGAGTGCAAGAAACATATCCTCTTTAAGGATATGTTTCTTGCAATCCCAGATCAGAGTTAGCGCCAAGTATAAAGAAGCACTTTGAATTGTGTCTTTCAAAAGCATAAATTTATTTTCTTGATTAAAAATAAATGAAAATTTCCTCCAAAAACCCGTTTCAACATGGGATGAAAATGTTGTCTATATAGAGGCAAAAAAATGATGCAGCTAAAAAAGCAGAAAAACTTATTAAAGATTTTCATGGTTTGATCACTGCAAAGGAAGAACGAAAGCGAACAGATTTCTAGTATCTTGCAACGCTCTGTGCAAGATACTAGAAATCTGTATCTAGACTGTAAAAAAGTAACCTTTAAAGAAAAATATCCTTCTTGATCTGTAATTTTATATTCTTTTAATAGATATCTGATATGATATAATTGTTTCAATTGATTTAGCTACGTAAACGAGGTTTAAAAATAGAAATTATCAAAGTCTTCAAAGTTCTATCGGCATGTGTTAGTTTTGTCTTAGATAAAACTTTGTATTCAAGTAAGTCTATTATATTGGTTACTTAAAATTTTTTTTTTTCAGAAATTAATCTCAAAAAAGAATAATCAAAGTTATGTCTTAGTTTGGGTATTTTTTTAACTTATAAAAGTGTAACTTTTTAAAAGTGTAAACTGACGCGTAACGTAACGTTTAAAAAATATATATTTGAGACATATTTTAATTGCGTCTCATATCTAGATTTTGTTACGTTATTTGGTCATTAAAAGAAAATATCCTGCTTTATCTGTAATTTCATATTCTTTTTATAAATATCTTATAAATTATAAATGTTTCAAATGATTTAGTTACATTACAGGAAGGATTAAAAACAGCAATTTTCAAAATCTTCAGAGACCTGTCGGCATGCGTTTATGTCGTCGTATGAGGATAAAATTATGTATTTAAGTCTAGATAGTTTAAAAAGAAATAGGGGGTATGGATTTTGAAAATTCGAAAAAAAAATTTCACATATATAAGAGACACCCTAATATATATATATATATATATATATATATATATATATATATATATATATATATATATATATATATATATATATATATATATATATATATATATATATATATATATATATATATATATATATATATATATATATATATATATATATATGTATATATATATGTATATATATATATATATGTATATATATATATATATATATATATATATATATATATATATATATATATATATATATATATATATATATATATATATATATGTATATATATATATATGTATATATATATATATATATATATATATATATATATATATATATATATATATATATATATATATGTATATATATATATGTATATATATATATGTATATATATATATATATATATGTATATATATATATATACTATATATATATATAATATATATATATATATATATATATATATATATATATACACTAGCGTATGTACAGGGGGGCGGAGGGGCCAATAGCTTTCTCATAACTAGAACACACACATATATATATATATATATATATATATATATATATATATATATATATATATATATATATATATATATATATATATATATATATATATATATATATATATATATATATATATATATGTATTATATATATAAATTTTATATATATATTATATATATATACTATATATATATATATTATGTATATATATATATATACATACATATATATATATATATATATATATATATATATATATATATATATATATATATATATATATATATATATATATATATATATATATATATATGGGTATATATTTTCTACTAAACATTTCTGAAGACCATCAAATTTATTGCAAAACTATTATCCAGGAAGGTTTTTTTGCTATATCATTTTTATCATCAACTTATTCCTTTACATTTTTTATCAATAAATCTATTATTTTTCTTTGTATAGAATACTGTTGTCATATCTCGACTGGATCTTCAAATGATAAACTTTAAACAATTTGCTAAAAGCATATTAAATAATTTTTTTAATTTTTTTTAAGACAAAGAGAGTTTTAGTTTAGTTGCTTTTTTTTTGTAACCTCCTTTTAACAATAAAATAGAACAGTAACAAAAACTTCTACAATCAAGAAAATCAAGATAAACTGGTATTAAAATAACAAAAAGCTAAAAAATAAATCACTTCTAATAAGCATTTTTTAAGCACAGTTAAACCTGCTCTGTACCATTTTTTAAATTGTTGCATTTATTTTTTATAATATTTATCTTTTTAATTATTCTTTTTAGAATCCATTTCAACCTGCAGTTAAAGGGAATATTACATATACAACAAAGGATTTACTCGACAGTTATGGTGCTTCTACTATTATCTTGCCGATTATCATGTTCATCGAGCAAATTTCAATAACAAAAGCATTTGGGAGAAAGTTTAACTACAAAGTAAAAGCACAAAATGAGTTAATTGCTATAGGAATGATGAACATTGTTGCTTCTTTTTTTGGTGGTTGGACTGTTGGTGGAAGTTTTACACGCTCTGCAGTTAATTCTATGAGTGGTGCTCAAACTCCCTTTGCAGGTTAAGTTTTAGATGATGACTTACCAAACTTAATCATTGTTTTTTATTTTCATTGCAATGTTTTTGCATATTAAATTTTACATTTTTTATTTATAATAGAACAAATATTGTAAACAGAAACTGTTTAATACTTTGCCTAAATAAATTGTTATGTGCTAAGACACACCACTTAAAAAATGGTGCTTATCACAGTAGTTTTGCTTGTTTATATGTTGCTTTTTGGCAAAACATTCTCATTTGATATAAGCATGAACATTTATAAATTTGGAGTTTATACACTTCCTAAAAGTTTCATATCTGAAGCATCAAAAAACTGGGTTATATTTTATCAATACTTATTCAGCAGTGTCTTTCATCATGTTAAAATACTTAAAAATCTGATTTATATATAAGAATAAAATTTTTGAAACACTCGATATAAAGGTCATCAATATGATAAAAAAACAAATTAACAATTTATTAAACGCTTAGTATAGCCTGAGTGGTTTTGTCCTCTTTTAGCTAATTCATGTCTTTTTAAACTCGTGAAGATTTACCTTCTTCTCAGAGACGATTCTAGGAATAAATTAAAAGGGGTGGTGGGGGGAGTAAATCTATAAAAAAAAGTACTCACTATAATACTAAATATATTGATAAAAACTTTAAAAATATAACTATATTTTTAAAGTACTTATCAATATATTCCATTAAATTAGCATCTTGAATTCTATTACAGTAGATTCATATTCCAGTCAGCATTTCTTTTTTATCCAGAGGTTGCTTCAATGCTGGAAACTTTCTTAAATGTTTAGTTACTAGAAATAAATAAGTTTTTTTTCCTGATATTAGTATCACAGGTAAGAACATCAAGTTTATACGAGGTTTTTTTTGGCATTGTTGCTAGCAAATCCGAGTCTCGGTAGCCTCTAAAAATTATAGAGTTTGAGTTAAACCATTATTCGAAACCAGGCCATAGATTTTATCAAAAGTTATAACTATTCCAATTAATGTTACTTATCTACTTGAACTAATTTTTTTATAAATGTGTTTGGATCCTCTTCATGATATGAAACACTTAACTACATTTTCATAATTATTTTGGTTTTCCATTTATGCACATTTATTGTAATTATAATCAAGTGAACCAAGTGTTGATTTTTTTTCACCATTTGCAATTTAAAATGTTCTTGATTTTATTTGCTTTTTATAGTTCTTTAATTTTTTTTACTTGTAAGTAAAAAATTTGAGTCGGCCAATGTAATAAGTACAAATTACTAAATACTAAGCTAATTAGTAAGCTTGTAATTAAAATTGAAGTTTGACGGCAAATTAAAAAAAATATGTCGGCAAAAAAATTCAATTTACATTTATTACCAACTTAAATTCCTTTGCCGTTGTTTTCAACAAAGCGCGAATTTCTTACCAATTTAGCACTTCGAAAAATAATTATTTCTGTAAGGTTTCTAAATTTTTTTATTTTTTATTTAAATACTAAAACAATTATTAATTAAATTTGTTCATCTTTAGGTGTAATATGTGGGGTTGTTGTATTGCTTTCTCTTGAATTTATGACTCCTGCATTTTACTATATTCCGTCAGCTGCTCTAGGGTCCATGATGCTGATGGCCGTATTAACTATGGTTGAAATGAGTTTAACAATAAACATTTGGAAATTGTACAAATGGGATTTATTACCATTTTTGGCTGCTTTTTGCATGAGTTTCTACAAACTAGAATACGGAGTAATGGCTGGAACAGGGATTGCAATTCTAATAATGCTGTCCCGTGAGGCTCGTCCAAAATATTTTTGCGAGGCGGATGAGACGGGGAAATCTCTAACTCTTCTACTAATGGAAAATTTAACTTATCCAGGAGTCGATGCTGTAAATAAAACAATTTATTCTGAAGTCAATAGTTGTGCTGGTATTAAAACGTTGTACTTAGATATGTCGACCATGGTGCGAGTTGATTTCACAATACTTAAAAATTTTGAATTTATGAAGGCCGAGTTGTCAAAAAAAGAAGTTAGCCTTCAGTTTATCAATTTCTCTCGCGACTCCATAAAGAATAAGTTCATTAATGCTGGTTTAATTCAAATGGAATCTTATCTGCCAGGACAAGATGAGGTAAACATTGACGTCCCACCAAATCATCTAAGTAGAGAAGAAATTTCAAAATTAAAGTATATGAAAACTGGAATTAATGGAGATGATGACGTTGAATATGTCGGATGTGTTGTGGAGAATAATAATAACATAGATAATGCGTTTTTTCCGTGTTCTGTTGAAAATATTCCACATCCCGAATTTTAATAAATTGTGTAGTTATTTATCCTTCAGTGTCGTTTTCATTTTGTTTGTTTTGTTTTGTATCAATTGCTTTCATATTGTGTTGATTAAAACAATTTGATTGTATTTATTGTTAATTAAAATAATTAAGTGGTTGTTAATAACTAGTTAATAACAATTATGTGGTTGTTAGTAACTAAACTGATAACAACAATTGTTAGAAATGAAATTTTTTTACGCTTTTTTTTACTTTTTACAAACAGAATTTTTTATCTAAAAAATATCTAGTTCAGGTATTCTTGTATGTAGATTTTATATATTATAAGTTTTTTTTTATATATATATATATATATAAATCAATTTTACAAATTTACTTAATATTTTGTTATTCAAGTAATACTTCTCTGTTTAATTGATTTTAATGTTTACAAACAGTATGGAAATCATCATCATTATCATCAATATGAAAATCATCATTATCATCACTATTTGTTGAATGCATTGAAAGGCTTTTTATAAGTACTCGGTGTATACAAATTATTCGGATTCTTTTATTTGGAATTAGATTGGTTTTATCAGCGTATTATGTCCAAACAAAAGCTTTAAATGATATAACTTTTTTTGCCCAGGTTTTTTAATGTTTAAAGAAACTTTTCCTTTTTATATGTAATTTTCAAAACCTTTTTACTACATGAAATAGTGAATCTAAAGAACACCATTTTGGAGTCTTTAGATCAATTCCGCTAATCGGCGTTAATATGAACTTAGTTAAAATCTTTTAAAAAAGTTCCTTAATTTACTATTGATCCTAGCTCTAATCGGTTTTGACATATATTATCTATATATAGTAGTCAAAACACAATATTTCTATCAATTTTTACAAAATATACTAGAATTCCGACCAAGAAAGAGCTTACAATTAAGTAAAATTGCCAATAAACGATCAAAACAGATCATATATAAACTATAATGTTCATTTCACCTAAAAAAACGCATTTATTTAAAATCTTATTCAAATTTGGACAAGAGATGGTAATTTTAAGAAGATTTTTTTTTTTTTTAAAGAATCTTCGGTCTGGTTTTTTCCGCTATAAACATTCAAATTTTATGATACCGCAAAATTTGTGATTTTAATTTTTTTTCGTCTTTTCTTAATTCACAGACCTGATCATTAAACGTAAGTATGTCGTAGTCAACAAAATATACAGACGCTATAATATTTTAAAGTTGCCTAAATTACACCGAATATACGGTACATTTATAAGTACCTACGTCTTTGTTACGTTCACAAACTTTTCGTAAGTCTTTAATTAGTTTACAAACTTGTAGTGACATTCGCGTATAAAAGCGGCGCATAAGTTATCCAAAAATTAATCTTGAGAGGATCATTCCGTCGCGGTCGTGACATCTCTACTGCAAAAGGTGAAATATAAGCATGGAACATAATAACCCTTTTTTTTGTTCTTGATAATGTGTATATTTGGTCACGTACTACTATCTGAAAAATTTACAGTAATTTTTGTGCTATAGTTGTATCGCTATGTCATAATAAAATCAGTCGCGGTTGTGACAGCTACAAAAATGGAACTTGTTTGAGTAATTTTGTTTTTTTGTAGAAAACTATCAATAAATCTAAAATTTGTTTTTTTAATTAATTTTTTGTTTTTGTTCATTTTTTACATAAAATGGTAGCTAGCAAAAAGTCGCGGTCGTGACAAAATATTATACTATCAGATAACTTTACATTTTAGATATTTTTTCAGATATATTTTACCAATGCCAAAGTATATAAACAATTTAATGTTTTTTGTTATAGATATAAAGATACATCAACAAGTTTTTAATAAAAACACGTAACAATTTTTTTGTTGTTGTTGTTTAGGTGCTCCGAGAAGACCTTATGGTCTTGTCACAGAGCACTGCGAAAGTGCGTGTATCCAGGAAGTTCACGCCTCCTTCCTTACCGTGACGCAAAAATATGTCCATAGCCCTGGATCTCCTGCTTATAAAGCAAGCGCTGTAACTACTGCGCCACGGCCGCAAATCACTTTATTAAATTACAATATTGAAGCCATATTTAAATGAACTAAACAAATCAATATACTAAATAACGGTTTTTTGTTTGCTTTGTTATTCGTCTGATAGTGGAGATATTTTTTCATGCTAAAAGTTTCATTCTTAACTTTCCAGTAATGGTTAAGTCGTATACCTTGAACCTTTTCTGCTTCTAGTAAAACATCACTTAGCTGACTATAATGTTGATCAATTTCATCCTCATTCAAATATATTAAATTTACCGTCAAATCTTTGCATATAGCTTCATAAAACTGTCACGCATTTTGAAAAATAACTTGTTTTGCTTTAACCTTTTGCCATGCTATTCTTTTTAAAGTTCCTCCTACCCCAATTTCCAGAAATGTAAAATTTTTTTTTTGTGTAGTTTATTTTGCCATTAAAAAATGTTTACATCGCATATACATTTATCAAAATTAATGGCAAGAGCAAGAAGAAGGCACATTTTTCCTTATCGCCGAGCCCCTTTTGTTTAAAAAAAAAAAAATTATACATAACCGTAACATACAAATATATATAAAGACAAATCAGAATTAAAACAGAAAATAAGTGAGAAATTAAAGAAATTCAAAATAGCAAATAATTAAGAAGTGTTAAAATGCTTACAACCGCTAAAATGTATAAGAACACTTAAACAAAAATTTTAAAATAAAAAAATAATGTAAAATTTCATAACTAACATAATCACTAGATGAATTTTGAACATCATCACTTGGTATAAATAAATCTGTTTTGAGCTTACTTTAAAAGAAACATTTAAAGTCGGACAAATTAAATTCCCTAAATAGTAATAACCTTTTTGATTCATTCTTGAATTGCTCTAAGGTAGCCTTGTTTCTGTTGACAATATCTGGGAATTTTTTCCACAGAAGAGGTCCACGGTATTTAATTGAATAGAAGGTTAATTTTAGATTATATTTGAGTAGAACAAAGTTGTTATCTGAAAACTTAGTTGAATACTTATGATTAATTTTATTAAAATAGATTTGAAAGATTTTTTGGACAATCGCATTTTTGTTTTAAACATAAACAATAAAACTTGTTGTAAATTGAGTTTATACACATTTTAAGCACCGAGCGCACGCAAAAGTGGTTCGCAAGGAGTATTTCTACAGGATCCAAATACTATTCTGCACGCACGTTTTTGTTTATTGTAAATTTTCTTAAGTTTTGTATAGCCAGTACTAACCCACACAATATTACTGTAAGACAAATAACTGTGAATAAAAGCAAAATATAATTTTTTCATTGATGTTACATATAGAAAAGGTTTAGCCTTAAACATCATTACAATATTTTTTGAGAGTGTCGTTTTAAGATTTGGTAATTTAAGAGGAATGTTTTCTGATTTATTTAGTTTATGGAAAAATATATGTTTTGTTTTATCTACATTTAGTGAAAATTTGTTACTTACAAACCATTCATTAACTTTATATAACTGTTCATTCACTATTTTAAAAAGTGTTTTAATATCTCTGTGAGAACAAAAAAGATTGGAATCATCAGCAAACAAAAAGATTTGTTGCTAAGTATAAATCGTTTATGTACAATAGGAATAAGAGTGGTCCTAAAATAGATTTTTTTATTTATTTATTTTTTGTCAAGCAACCATTTACAAATAAAGGTAATTTCCGATAAATATTTAAAAATATTAAATACAAGTACATTTCATTATTTATAATAGTTACGAGACCGGAGAACCTGAAGAAGATAAAACTTTATCATCATAAATAACCTTTGATAATAAAAAATGGAAATAAAAGTGTGTTGTTAGAAAAAATCATGTAAAGAATCTTGATTGGCAATAATTTCGATTATGTTCTTTTTAAATTTTTGAGAGGTATTGGCTTCTTTAAGTTTACCACTCAAGCTTGTAAAATGGTTCCGTAGCATTGGGCCACGATAGGAAATGGCAAAGCTCGTAAGTTTTGATGTACGGAAAGGTTTTTTAAATCTTCCGGTAGATCGCGTGTTGTATCGGTTTAATATTTTATGGAAAATATTTTCGAAAACTTATTTTTTTTTTTCCTTTTTTAAATGAAGATTCTATATATGTATATCTTTTTTTAAATTAAAAAAAATATCTTAATGTATTTTTTGATAGCTCTAAGTATTATTAATGTGTTTTTTGATAGTTCACTAATACTAGATCAGGAGCAATAGCTGAAGCAATGCGAGTTGTAAAAAATCCTCAAAAAAAATGTGAAAAAGTTTATAAACTTGTGTGCAATTTTACAAATCAATTAAGAGAGCTTTGCAAACAACAATATAAAAACAAAGCCTATCATGGTGAAGGTTTGGTTTTAATGATGCATAGATGGGAAAAGTTGCAAAGTGACTTTAAAATTGGTGATGAGTTTGACATGAGTTTGATTCCAGATATTTATGATTGCGTGAAGTATGATTATATCCATAATATGTAAGCTCAATTTTTACTAAAATAAAAATGTGATAAATTATTCATTTTTATTTGAACTGTACTCATTTCATTATTTGTTGTATTTATTTGATTGCATTCATTTCATTATTTGTTTGTTTATTATTGTTTTGTTTATGATTTTTTAATCACAATAGTTTTGATTTTTAATTGTTTATGTATGCATATTTTATTCTTATTTATTTAGAAGTATTTTTTAACTTTATTGTGACTGATGTTGAAACATAAATTGTGTAATTTTGAAAATATTTAATTCATAAATACCAAGTGCCCTCATGCTTTTTAGAAGAGGTTTAGCATTTGTGAAGCGGTTTTGAAAAGGAATAATGCGTGCTGCATGATTCTGTTGTTTAAGTAGACAGTTCAGTTTAGATTTATTTGTACTACCCCAAACAATATTGCCATAAGGTAAATAACTATTAATGAATGCAAAATATAGTTGAGTTAGTGTAGATTTGTCTAAGATTTGTCTCGTTTTATATAAGATGCCAATGCTTCTTGAGATTTTATTGCCAATATGTTTAATATGATCTTTCCAGGATAAGTTTTCGTCTATTAAAATACCAAGTAATTTATTTGTGAATGAGCGCTCAATTTTGATATTATTTATATATAG